ACATCACAAAATAAGTCTACAAATAAGAAAATATAAAGGTTAGGTGAGTACAGTAACATGAATGATGCTGATTGAAGTCTACTTCTTAGTCTTAGTTCTTGGCCTAGTAACGATTGGAGTCAAAGATGGCTTAACAGTCTTAACAGTCTTAGAGGTTCTTTTAGTAGGTTTGGGGGAGGGATCAGAACTAACCCGACCAGTAGGTGTATCTTCTTTAGGGATGATGTCGTTAGACTTGACCTGCTCCTAATTCCTTTCCTCCTTAATCTTCGCAATGGTATGCTCCACAACCACAACCTTGTAAGTCAGAAGTTTCAACTGCGATTTGCACGTCTCAAACCCAACATTCATTTCCCCAGACAATGTTGTGAAGCATTTCTCGAGATACTCTATCATCATGTCCACCAGAATCTTGTAAACCTCCTCATCTATGGAAGGAGTACCAACTGCACAAGACCTCTTCTGGCTTTCATCGTCCGATTCGACGCCTTTTTTTCTTGCCTGATATGGCCTCTGACTTTACGTTGTTCGACTTTAAAACACCTTGGATCCGCCAATCACTTGACTTCCACTTCCAAGCACCATCACCAAACTCCTCAAAAGCGGCTTTCGCAATGTTCTCGATCAGGACATCATATACCTCATCATTCCAAGTAGGGAACATATCCTCCATAACCTTCACAGTAAATTTGTTGAAACTGAATTGCCAAAATTTGGAAATATAAGTTAGACACAAGAATTTTATAGAAGAAGTCTATAAAAGAAGGCGAGTCAAATGCATTTTTATCTGTTTCAGCATAGCCTCTTTGTTGTATTTTTTCCACGGAAACCGCTGTAAGCCAGTACCGGTGGAGTTGGATGGTTGGGATAGGTATTTCCGTACTGACATCCAAATTCAAGCAAAGAAAAATACGCTCAAACTTGTAGCACTTCAGCAAACTCCGCAAGCGTATATGCTTTGGTCAAATTTGCTTTTTTACAGACTCGACGAGAGCCTTGAAAGCCACTCTTCCCCCACGGGTAATTTTCAAATGCCATAAATCCATGACTAGCCTTGCCATGTTAACCCGTGCGGGTGAGTCTCTTTTCTGTGCGTCAATGAATCCAGAATAGATGGATAATATCCTAACTGAAGCATATCCTCCCTTGTTCAGTCTCCAGCATACTTACATGCTTCTATAAGTTTTTCAACAATGGAACCAACCTCTAGACTAATGCCAAGCTTGTCCCAAAATTTTCTCGTCTCAGGAGTAACATCGGCTTCTGGATCCTCTAGATCTGCAACTTATGTACTCACAGCTGAGACCAGCGATGTCTTCAAACTCATTTAGTGAGAACCTCATTGGGTTTGCACCGATCAAACTCCATATCTCGTACTTCTTCTTGCACTGAAGCTGAAAACCGAGTAGGAAGTGAACCACCATTGATGCTCACCCAAAGTTTGGTTTGTAGAACTTTAGAAATACACCTAGCATTGATTCCAGCAGCTCTTCCCATTCAGCCGTTGTCAGTACTGCTTCCAAGACAGGAAACAACTTTGGGTCGTTGCAGTAGTAGCCTATGCTTTTTCCCTGTTGAGGCTCATCTCCCTTTGTGTATACTTTCTTTGGGAATTTAGGCTTCTCCATCCTGCTAAACAAATGGGCGAGCTCGAGCAAACTTGTAAAAATTAAAGTCTGCGACTGAAGTTTGAATCATAAGTCTACGAATGAATTCTGCTAAAGAAGTCTACATAAAACCCTAGGCACACATAAGCTGACCGTATAATTACTTTTTCAAATCCTGAAATCACTGAAACCACATAAATCTGGCGGAGACAAGGAAGGGAGTCATTGAGATCTGTAAAACCAAACAAAAAATCTCAAATTTTGACAACAAAATTAACTAATATGGCAGAGAAAGAGGAAAATATATACAGTGATGGAAACAAGCTGCGGCTATTATATCTAGAGTAAAAATTATGTCTGAATCTAACATATGCCGGAAAAAGAGAAAGGGAGATGAAGAAAAATTAACGAGGAGGAGTGAAAGCGAAGAAAACCAGCGGTGACGGTGCATGGGCGAGGAGGCAGCAGTGGAAACAACATAAAAGCAGCGGTGAGGAGATAAGAGATAAAAAAATCGACTAAGGTAAATATACAGATAAAGAGATATACAGAAGATGGTGAGCGAGAGAGAGAGAGAGAGAGAGAGAGAGAGAGAGAGAGAGAGAGAGAGAGAGAGAGAGAGAGAGAGAGAGAGAGAGAGAGAGAGAGAGAGAGAGAGAGGAACATAGTTTATCTGCGGCGATAATGTGAAGAAATGGCAGCGATAGGGATCGTGTAGAGGCGATAGAAATGGCAACGGCGACAGAGAGCCTTTGAAAGATGTGTTTTAGAGAAAATTAAGGTTTGTTAGAGAAAGTAAATTCTATATATAGTAAAACCAAATATATGTGTCAGTTAGATTGTGAAACTTACCAACAAATTTGGTCCAGTAAATTCTGATTCTAACCAATTTTGTTAAATAATTTCCAATTCCCACTTGATTTAATTTGGATTGCAGACTTCTTTAGAAGTCTACAATCAAAGTCTACAAAAGAAGTCTATTTATTTAGATAGTTCAATTGCCAATAAATTCAAGCCGGTTAATTCTGGTTCCCACCTATTTAGTTTAACTATTGGGAGTTCTTACTTGGTTTGATTTGAATTATAATCGAAGTCTACAAAAGAAGTCTACTTTTTTAGATTGTTCAATTGCCAACAAATTCGAACCGTTGATTATGGTTTCCGTTTATTTAGTAAAAAAAAATTAAAATTTTCGTTTGGTATAATTTGAATTGTAAACTTCTAAGTGTCTACAAAAGAAGTTTACTTCTTTAGATTGTTCACTTGCTGATAAATGTCGAGGCGGATGATTCTGGTTTCCGCCCATTTAATTAAAAGAATTTGGAATTCCTACTTGTTTTAATTTGAATTTCTGACTTTTTTAGACGTCTGCATATGAAGTATGCTAAAGAAGTCTACATATGAAGTCTGCTAAAAAGTCTTCATATCCAGTAAGACTCTGCATTTTACAAACAAATTTGGTCTTGTAATTTCCTGTTCCTACCCATTTTGTTAAATAATTTCTAATTTCCACATGTTTAATTTGAATTGCAAACTTCTTTAGAAGTCTACAAAAAAAATCTTTGTATCTGATATTAATTGTTTAATTGCTAACTTATTTGAACCGGTCATTCTTCTTCAGAAATCTACATAAAAAGTCTAGATAAGAAGTCTGCCAACAAAGTCTTTTTTTTTTACAGAGTACAGAAATACACATAATTTTGGAATCATATTGGTGTAAACGAATTTCAAGAGCTACGATGATCTACTAAGGTCTACTCAAGCTAGCGCAAAGTTAGATGATCAAACCTACAAGGACTAGAGAAGGAACAATCACATTCCTCAACTTGAGGTATCTGAAACGCTTCTTCTGTAGAATTAGCTTATTTAGTTGATTTAGCTCTGTCTCAATCCGATTATGTGCTTCCTGTCCATCCCTATTTTGGAGGACATGAATGTAATCTCCTTGGTTATCCAGGGCTTATCGTAGCTCTTGAAATTTCGTCATCACAGCCTCATCCCACCATTTGACTAGATGAGGGGGGGGGGGCGGGGGTGGGACCATACTACATCCAAAGAACATCTTACTAAGATACTCGTATGTACTGTCTATGGTCTCATCACGGTAAGCAAACCGCAGTAGCATCTGTTAGAAATTTCAAAATTTATAGATCGACGTAAAGTAGTAGAGCTCATTTTGAGTTCTCTATTACTCCACAACCTTCTCGAACTACTTGAAGGATGACTATAGCTGTATCGCCCCATTCATGTGTATGAATATATACACAGATCTGCAACAAAGAAAAAGGAAATGTTGTAATACAGATCTAGATATTATAAAATTTGAGATGAGGAGGACTAGATGAAGACAGAGAAAGAAAATTAGATCAACAGATAGAAAAATATGAACACAATAGCAAAATAAAGAATTATACAGATAAAGAAACACATGAGATAAAGTAGGAGATGAAGAAGTACAAAAATGGATGACTTACAACTACCACAATAGGTAAGAGAGAGGAGGTTGATGGCGTATGCTTCTCTAGCAGTCTATGACAGTAAACTTCTTTAAATGTCTACAATAGTAGACTTCTTAAAAATCACAAGAATAAAATAATCATTTTGACAAACATTTATTATTTGTTCATGAAAGACTAAGTTATAATTTCACTATCCATCTAAATAATTTTTGTAAAACATGCAATATGAATCTATATTTTTAGAAAACTCTAACTTTTAGCTGTTTTTAGCAATTCCCTTTATAAATTATTTACTGATTAATGAGGATTTTAGTTACAATGTGAATGTGGAATAATCTTTTCTAAATATTTTTTATTTTTGAAATATTATTGATAAATTCTACAAGTATAATCAGAATGTACCCGTACAAAGTAGTATCTTTAGTACTTATCCGTACAAAAGTATAGTATCTTGAGTACTTAAATGAATTATGCATTGATAATTTTTGTTTCAGTTTAAAAGTGGAATAATCTTTTGAAAATCTTTTTTTTTTTACCTTAATGTTGGTATTGATAAATTTTACATATATATATATATATATATAATAAGTACATATCCGTACAAAAGTAGAATATTGAATACTTATCCGTACAGAAGTAAAATATTGAGTACTCTGCCGTACAGAAGTATAGTATCTTGAATACTTATCCGTACAAAGGAAATATCTACTAAAATCTTTAGTCTTTGATATTTTTTTCTGTTAAAATTTATTCGTTAACGTTGATAGTTAATACTGTTGAAAATTGCAAATATAAAAGATTTGTTGTTCATAAACAAAACGCCTTTTCTATATCGCAAAAAGAAAATCATGGTTTCTTTGCCATAAAAACCCTAACAGAGATTTCAGAGCTCTTTAGTATCTAAGAAGAAAATTTTCATTTTTTTCAATACGCCATGGATCACGAAGACAATCAATACAATGATCCAAACAATCGTATCAGCCTTGATCTCTCCTTGCGAATTGGTCCTCAAGAACAACATCCTGTTGAGAAACAAGTTCTCGTCGAAGAGCAAGATCCCATCGAGGAACAGGGCCACTTCATGCAACTCCTGAGATCAGTAAGTGATCCTCCACCAACAACACAACCTTCTACTCCTCCTAAACATTACATGATGCCTCATGAAATTTACGCATGGAATGTCTCCGGAGTGGCTTTTCCTCCGTCTCCACTGCCACCGTTAGGACAACTCCTTCAGCCTCAAGCGATCCAGGGTGGATCTGAGACTCCCCGGACGGGAACTAGGTTAGGGCGGCCACCCTCTGGCCCCCAAGCACGTCGTAACTCATCAAGAGTTGCAGTTGAAAGAAACGTGGGTGACAAGGAGATCGTACCAGTACAACCGTATCCAGCCATAATTCATACACTCAGTGACTTGTTAACCAACAATATTACCGTGATATCTGGACAAGTCTATTGCAGACCTTGCGAAAAAACGGAAACCTTGGAGTATAATCTCAAGGAGAAATTTGAGGAACTGGAACGATACATCAAGGAGAACAAGGAGGTAATGCGTCAACGAGCCCCCAGCGTTTGGATGTATCCGAAACTGATTCGATGTGGCCTATGCGACAACGAGATGAAGCCGGTGATTAGCCTTAATAAGGAAGAAATCAATTGGTTGTTTCTTTTGTTAGGGCAAATGTTGGGATGTTGTACTTTGGAACAGCTCAAATACTATTGTCACAAGACTAGTCAACATCGAACTGGTTCAAAGGATCGTATTCTCTACAGTACTTATCTTGGTTTATGCATGCAGCTCAAGCACTGTAATACATTTAGCCTCTGAATCTAATCAGAATCTGGCCGGGTTGATCAGTGGCTTATCAGAATCTGGCCGGGTTGATCAGTGGCTTTTTTAAGTTTGCTTTAATGTTAGGGTATTTAGGAATCATGGTTTTTTAATGCATAAGTTTTTTTTTTTTTTTTTGTAGTGACTACTCTAGTAATCAATATGAAAAAGTTGTTTAAGTAAACAGTATTCTTAGAAGTCATGAATAAACATTTCTCTTTGTCAAGAGACCGTAATTTCCGATTCTTCAAGCTACGCAAGCCGTTCCTACTAGCTTTATTAATATATTAAGAATACCAAAAATTAAGAGAGAGAAACTGGACATACATTATTGCTAAAATCAAGCTCGAAATAAAAAAATACTGTTTTTCATGTATTCAACACATTAAGTTTCATTACTAATTACCAAATCTGACCCAAATCTATCGAGCTTTCGATCATCAAGATTCTCAATTTTCCATAAATTCTAAATCATCAAGTTTCATATAATTCCATGAGTTTAAGCCATTATACCCGAACTCACATTCTACTCATAACATGTAATCAATTAATGTAACGAACCATGTATCTTTTTTTTGAATAAGATAGATGAATGTATCTTCGCTGACCGAGAGTGGGAAATGGGTATAGGCTATACCGTAGAGCTCAAAGACTTAAGTGGTATAGACTTTGAAATCACTTAAATCCGCTGCAATTTGAAGAAGATTTTCTTTAAAAATGAAGGTTCTGGTAAAGAAAAACTTAAGTATAGTCGATAATGGTGAAGAAGAAGAGGATGTCTAAAGTATTTTTCTTAATCTTAACTAGTATTTGAGAAGTACTTTAACTTGTAAATGCTGACTTGTCAGAAACAGAAAAAAGTTAGTCCAAATCAAATGTGACAAAGCAAGTTTTTAAAAATAAATAAAATATTTTTATTCATTGAGTTAGAATTAAATATTATAAAATTATAACAATAGATTATAATACTAAAATTAAAAATAATAAATTGTAACTATTATCTGAAAAATAATTTAATTTATAAATGCTGATTTGTCAGAAGCAAAAAAGGTTAGAGCAAAATGTGATAAGACAAATTTTCAAAAATAAATAAAATATTTTGATTGACTAAGTTAAAATTAAATAATTTTAAAATTAAAACAAAACCACAATAAATTATAACACTAAAATTAAAAGAAAATGAGAATTATTATGATTTCAATTATTTTAAATATATTCATAATTGCTTGCATTTAATATTATCACAAAATATTTACAACAAATATATATATTATAATTTAAAATATAAAAAAATATATTAATAATAATAAATTATATAATAGGGTAGTAAAAACTCTAAATTAATAATGTTGGGAGTATAATATATTATTATTTTGAAAATATTGTAATTTATAAAAACGTCTACTAATAACATCTAAACAAGATTTAAATAATAGAATTTAAAATAAAATAAAACCATGATAAAATAATTTAAAGAATAAAAAAAGTTAAACAAATAAAACAATTATAATTAAATTTTATTAAAAGAATAAGATAACATAATTTAAAGTAAATTTTATTTTCAAACAATTACTTACTATGTCAAATTAGTAAAGTATATACTAATAATTATTTATAATATTAATAGGATCATGTATTTGTATATAATTTTTAAAAACTTTTTATATTATTATTTTCTGGAATTTTCGTATTTTCCGTTAACATCTCATCTTGTCTCTCCTTTTTTAAACAAAAACAAAAGTGTATAAATATTCATATATATGTGAACGCATATTCATTTTAAATTAAGAATTTGAGATCATAAATAAAACAGCGTAAAGTAAAATTACAAAAAACTTTCCAAGAAATCAAAAATATAACAAAAATTACAGCTTAAAGTAAAATATTACAATTTTTAATTTTAATTTTTTTTTGTTATTTTTGTTTTTATGTAATATAACTTTCAATTTAAAATTGTCTATCATCAAAAATGCTGAAAAAAGAAATTTTGGTTAAATACAAAATAAGAGAAATGATTTTCGTGATTGTTGGTAAACGGCAAAAACTGAACCATATAAAAATATAACATTTGAGAGGAAAATATTGGAAAAACTAACCTAACACCAAAATATTAGAGTTCACTTATTTCTAACTTATACATACATGCACAAATATACATATTTATTTCTTTTTAAAATACAACCACACATTTTAAAAATATATATTGCAAAACATATACTTTGTTATTTCTAATCCATACATACATGCACATATATACATATTTATTTATTTTTAAAATTCAGTTATACATTTTAAAAATATATATTCCAAAATATATACTTTGTTATTTTCTTTTAATACATAAAAGTTATACTTCTACTATTCTACAAATATGCGTGTCGATATGAATATTAACTGCACAGAAGTTGAAATCGCGTGCAAACTTGTCGTGTATGCATTTCGTTAATGTAGATTATAGTCCAATTTTCATTTTAATTATTAGATAACTTAATTTTTTAAATCTTTATTTATCCTAAGAACAGTGAGATGGTTGGTATGTACGCATGTGTGGACCAACCATTTACCCGCTCTTAGGATAAGTAATAATATAACCGATTTTGGTTTAATTTTCAATAAGTCAAGAAAAATATATATGTATATATATGTATTGACAAGATTATATTGTATAAGAAAAAAAATAAAACGTAAAATATGTAATATTCCAAAAAATATTATAAGAATTTAATTATTATTTAATATAATTTTTATATTTGCAATTATATGTTACTCTGCTAAAAAAATAAAATTTTTTAAAAATAAATCTGTTTTAAAAGACATAAAACTGTATAAAATATTTGTGTGATTGTTCTTAAACACTAAAACTGTATTTGTATACAAAAATAATATTTGCATGAAAAAACTAATCAATATTTAAATATTACAACTAATTATGTCAATAAAAAATCATATATACATATGTGCAGACCAACCAACTAATTTACTTTTTTAAAATATAAATAATGTATTTTATTATTAAAGACAGAATATGATTAACTTTAATAAAAAAAAAGTTTAGTTCCCAAAGTTCATCACAAAGTAGATACACAAACAGATAACTGAAGCATTTTTTATTTATTTACAAATTCCCTCTAATTGTTTTGACTATTATATGTGGTTATAAGCAGTTTTTCTTGGAGGTATTTGATTTTGATAGCCAAACTTTCATCCTGAACCGCGATGTTCAGTACGTATTATATGCCACACTCACATTTCTTGCGATGTTCATTCATCAACAACTTCTTTGCCTTTGCTCACAACATTCTTCTTTTTGTTCGCGGTGTAGCTCCCAAAGAGACTCTCCATCTCCTCAAGAGGCATACCACGCGTCTCCGGGAGGAAAGTGAAGAAGAAGACCCATGCAGCTGCTGCAACTCCAGCGAATAGAAGGAACGCACCACCGATGGTTAGACCTTTAGAAAGAGATAAGAATGTCATTCCGATAATACCACTCATCAATCTATTCAACATCACTCCCAAACTTGCTCCTTGAGCTCTTAGCCTCACGGGGAATATCTCCGAGCAGTAGACCCACGTCACTGGGCCTGCGCCTATTGAGAATGTTGCCACAAACGTCATCACCGTCGTAACGCTAAGCCCAATAGCCCACTTGAGCGTTTGTCCCGGGTTTCTCTCGATCACTGTGAGACTAGTCCCGAGCGCGGTTAAGGAAAGAAACATTCCGCCCATACTCGTGAGCAACAAGGCACGACGTCCAAACCTGTCGACCACGCAAGTCCCTACCACGATGAAGAGCGTCTTGACAACTCCTACAGCGACCGTAGCCAAAAGCTGGTCGTTCTTGGACTTCAATCCAGCCTTTAAGAAGATGGTCGGAGAGTAAAGCACGACGGCGTCGATCCCGGAGGCTTGCTGAGCGAAATGGATGCCAAGGCATGCTATAAGGATGTGTCGGACAGAAGGGGTTGGTCTAACGATAAGGTCCTTCCACACTCCTTTTCCGGCACTCTTTTTGTTCGGAACAACTATAACATCGTCTGTCATGTCCTCAGGGATTCCAGCAGCGCGTTTGATGTCTTCGAGCCTCGAGATGGCTTCCTCTTTGGTGTTTGAGGTTTTGTCGAGGACTTTAAAAGCATCCCCGAGACGACCTTGGAGGACGAGCCACCGTGGAGACTCTGGCATTGCCAAAACACCGATGGCTAGGAGCACCGAGGGAACTGCTCCGATCCCTAACATGAACCTCCAACCAAGATGCACGGGAAGCTTGGAGAAGAAGTAATTCGATACGTATCCCAAAAGTATACCAATGTTGATAAATATCTGCACACAAAAAAAAAATATTAACATTAACGAAGTGTATGGTTACGAATTAGCCACAAAAAGCCATAAATTATGTTGTATAGTCCTACGTTTACAATTCGTTTCCAAAATATGTAATTTAAAAAGTTGGGAAATATTGGACCTCAGGGAAAGAGCTGAGGAAGCCACGAGAAGAGGCAGGAGCAACTTCAGCGGTGTAAACTGGTGCAATCATCATAGCATAACCGACGCCAATACCAGCTATAAAACGTCCGACCATAATGAAAGGATAGTTTGTGGCAAAACCCATGAGAAGGGCGCCGCAAAAGAAGAAGGCTCCTGCCAACACTATGGTGTATCGTCTTCCGAGCCAATCAGAAGTTCTACCGGCTGCGCCTGAACCGACCAGAGAATAGATGTTTAGAATTCCCATAAGAATCTCAAGTTGTACGTCCGAAAGTTTCAAATCATCTTTAATGAAAATCGCAGCTCCACTCATTACTCCAATATCTGAAACATTCCACACAAAAATGTAAGGATGGTTATTTAAACGGTATAAAAACTGGAAAAAAAAACCCGGGAATGAACGTTAATAAGTAAATAGAATTGAGAAAGAATATGTACCGTAACCAAGGATGATAGAAGTCATGGAGGCTAAAATTGCACAAGCGAACGCATATCGGCTTCTATTTCCTCTC